GTTGCACTATTTTAATTTTTACTTGTTTCTGTGGTCCGGTCTCAACATGTCCTGGCCTCTTCCTTTCACACTGCCCAAGGTGGGCAATGGGATGGGGTAAGGGAGCCTAAGGAGGCAGTTACTGCAGTCTTGAAGGTAGACACTAAAGATGTCTCTGAGACAGGTTTCAAAGTCAGATAGTCATGTATCAAACTTAGAACTCAGTTATACAGTACAGGACAAACTACTAAAGTTGTTTAAGCTATAACTCCTTCATGTGTAAAATGGGTATAATATCACATACTATTCTGAGCAGCAACACTAGTGGACACTCAGTGAATCTCCAAGGTTACAAAGAAAAAATGTAGGCCACAGCCAACTGAGGCAGAGAATGATAAACCTATAAAAATTAAACGATATACTTTTTTAAGAATTAAAAAATAATGAAAAATTTGTGACTTAAATAATAAATAATTGTTTACAAAGTTCTTATACAGAGAAGACATTCAAGGTAGATTTTATTTCCACAGGATAACTCTGGGCCTCTAGATTTAGAAAATATTCTAAGATTCTATTTTACTGAAGTATCAACTAATGATCACTTAGTTGGCAGCCTAAGTACCAAAGTGGTCAAAATGGTACACGGTCAGCTGATGTGTGGTGCTAAGGGCAGTTCTTTCCTCCCTTTCTAGGGACCTAACATCTTTCCTGGTCCAGCTTCCTTCAATTTCTTCTGGCTCCTAAGAAAACTTACAGGGTAGTATGATAGAGACATGTTTTAGAAAGTCAGGCTTTATTAGTTTTCTGCAAATCATAATAATAGACACTTCCCCATTGAATCGAAAGCTATGATGAGGTGAGAATATTAGCTATCAAGACCAAAAAGCATTGGAGCCTCAGCGCTAGCTAGGAAGGGTGTTACCCTTTGGAAACAAAAGGAGATGGAGTTACATGGCCCAGAGCCTCTGGATGGTCATGAATTATAAATCTGGAAACATCTTCATATTCCTCTTTCCTGCTGCTTTACAGGAAGCATACTGAGTTACATATCTGAGAGAATGGCTTTGAAACACATGAATTATTTATCATGTTATACTGTTAAAAAGAATTTGTGAACTTTACAAATGAAAAAAAAGTTTGCATGTTTTTTACTTCATTTTTATATCCCAATGCTTGTTGACTTTCCAAACACTTGCTCCAGGCAGGCTGCTCAATTTATCCATTGGTCACAAAATCTTTTCACACTTTATCTGTCAAAAATTATCTTGTCCTTTTTTTTTTTTTCACTATGCAAAATACATCCAGGTCAGTCTAACTTGGGTTTTCTCAAGTATCACCAATGGATTCCCTCCTGAGCATTCTTCAATTCATCTCCACTTCCAAAGGTTTTATTACTGAGATCTTAAGGAAGCAGCATCTATTTTATATGAAACCCCAGTGCCTAGTTTCAGCCTGACCTATGACAGTAAAAGAGAAAGAAAACAGTGTAGCCAAGCTTAAGAGGGTCCCATGTTCCCTGCCTTCTCTCTCTTTCAACTGAGTATAGATGGGAGCTGTGACTTGATTCTAGCCAACAGAATATAGCAAAGGTAGTGGAATGCATGTGGTTGTATGTATGTATTACATACTGGAGATGAGATCCCTCCCCACTGGCCTTGATGAAGTCAGTGTCAATGTTGGGAAGGCCCATGTGGCAAGAAACAGGGTGACCTCCAGATAAGAGCCATCGAGAAATGGTGATCTTGTTTAACAGGTCCCAAGGAATAGAATGCTGTCAACAATCATATAAAGCAGATCCTTTCCCAGCAGAGTCTCAGATGAGACTCTAGCTTTGTGAGTTTGTGAAACAAAGGACCCTGACAAGCTGTGGCTAGCTGCTAAACTACAGCAATTGTGTTTAAGTTACAACACTTGTAGTCATACTGCTATCCAGCAACAGATACACAAACAACCTCAGGATGAGAAAGTAATCCCTGACATCTGTGGCTGCTAGCCTGGTGCCATCAGCAAGACTGTGAGGTTGCCGAGAGCTGCCTTCCACTCATATCCAGGCTTTGGCATTAAATACAAACAATTTCAAAGAACACTAACAATAGACCACCTTGTGACTGCCAGCAGGGATTCAGGCAAAATCATGACCACTCTATAATCACATCTGAATATGGACAGAAATGCAAATACTATCTAAATCACAACAATGACTAAACATCCCCTGTACTCATCATTATACACACATAGCTTTAACACTGATTCTCTCCCTCTGTCTTTTTGGTAAGATTTATTAAGATACTCATTCACAGACACATCCTTACCCGTAGCATTTAACACAGACAAAGTTCCACATATTCAAAAGCCACCTAACACAAATCCAAAACCTACACTAAGGCCTTTCAAACACTGTCATAATGAGGCACCCCACCATTCCACTGTATGTGTACTACCTTAGCACAACCAGCAGTAAATCCAACCTGTCCAACCACAGACAAATGAACATTTGGGGAAATGATGGGGCATGCCAGGAAGCCCCTTCATCTCTGACAGTATTTTATATCGTTACAACTTATTTGGAAAGTAGCACAGAGAAGAGTCATAATCTAACCGTTCAAGTCTGAGAAAACCTTTCAGCAGAAACTACTGGCTCAGATTTCACATTACTATCTACAAGGCAAACACAAATAACTTAAATGTTTAATGAGAGGGAAAGTTTTGGTGAATTGTGTTGTATTAATCCAAATTAGAGAGATATCAAAATAAATGTGAAGGTTAGGCTCATGGAAAACGTTTCAGCTATGATGTGACCAAAAAATAAACAAAAATAAATAAAAACAAAAAAGGCTGCAGATGTAGCTCTCAGTGGCTGAGTGCTTGCCTAGCCTGAGTGAGGCCTTGAGGCTTGTCTAGCATGAGTAGGTTCCTTTCAGTACTGGAAACAAAATAAAAAATACAAATAGCAGAAAAGCTGTAGTATGCTAGGCATTATTTGAGGTATTCTATGTTCACATATCATTTAATCTGAAGAATATTTTCCAGAAATGGAATATTAACCTCATTTTACAGATAAGATACTAGGGCACAGAGAAGTTAGATAACTGGCCAAGATTATGTATCAGACAAGTGGAGAAGATATGACTCAATAAGCTGGGTTTCAAACTACTACACTGTCTTACTTCTCTTAGACACAATGAAGACTGCAACTATACACAACTATGGATATCTGGGACCAAAGAAAATGTGAAATAACTGTGAAACAGGAATAGAATTAAAAGAAATTTAATTTTTAAAACAATAAACTTTAATGCTATATAATCTACTCAAGAAAAACAATTAAGCATTGAGACCTGACCTACAATTTCCATGCAAAGTAAAATTATATACATGGAAAGGTTTGGCATTTCCTCCAGCTCCAAATTACTTCTAACTTCACTCTATTCTAGAAAAATGGAATGAGATAGGAATGGATTAATACCAAAATGCAGCCCTCCAAGCTGGGTAGAGACCACTAATTACATAAGTGTAAGAGTGCAGATGATGAGAGAGACACCCAGAAGGAGATTTGGTAAAGGCAGAATTGGTTGGGAAAAGTAGGTAAGATTTCCCCCTCCTAGAGGAAGACAGCTGGAAAGGAGGGGTACACATCCAAGCAAAGGAGGGTTTTCCTGCTTATTTCCCATGTTACCAATACCAGATGTCTTATCTGCTAATGGTTAAATCTAGAGACAGAAATAAGAGCCCCTGTAGAAATACCAGGGCATGTGTGCATGTGTGTCCCGATCTAGTTCTCTTCCTCTCCCCTAAGAAAATTGCATTTACTAACGTGGGAATTAAGGGCGGTTCTGACTCACCCCCGCCATTCAAGTGCATGTACTGACAATAAACCAAGACACTTGCTTCAGAGGGCAGTCAATTAATCACTCTTTTCACAACTACATCTTCAAACTGTTTGAGTTTATTTGTACTTTTAAGATAACTAGAATTCTTTAATGGTCACAACTCAGATGACATAAAATTAGTGGTAAATGGAAAATGGGGGTAAACAGGAAAGGGAACTGTGGAGTCTGTGAGAGCAGAACTAGAAAGTTCATATTAAGAAGTATTTATTTTGGGGATGTGGAAACAGGGAAACCTGCCCCCAGACATTCTGTCTTATTGTCCATCTTGCTTGTTAGCACCTTCAGCACTACTGCTGTGTTTAGGGCAGATTAGACAGATCATACCCAAAGTTATATGGGACACCTTTTCCTTGACTAGCCCATCTGTGCAATCATTTCAGAAGGTCATCTTGCACAGAGTGTGGAGGCAGAACTAATTTGTCACCAAGGATTCTGAGACAAGGAAAGCAAAGCTAAATGCTTCAATAGACATCAACATTTTAAGGCAGCAGAGTATGGCTGAGGAAGGAGGGATGTGAAACAATGCCCTGTAAATCTGATCTTACTGATACTACATCTCAGCCAGACGAGAATCAGTTATGTACAAAATGATTAATCACTACCTCTCTGAAATATTCAAGGTCCTCCTGCCTCTTAGGATGGAAAAAAGAAAATCTAATGCTGAAATATGACTGTGAGGCTTTTGTTCATTCTATATTCTTTTAATAAAATAGAACAAAAAATTTTGCCTTGGGCTTGGCTGAATTATGGGGCTTATCTCCTAAGAGGCAAAAAGCTTTATTCTTCTTCAGATTGCCAAACTGAGCCAAGTTATAAGAAGCCTGATAGAGGAAAAAAAAATGCCTATGCTATATACCTCAGGCTACAATGTATCAAATGTGGTAACAGCTCTGAAAAACAAATTTTCTCTTAATATTTATAGAAAAATGGGCACTGCAGAACATAATTAATTTTTAGCTAATGGGCAAATGCTGATGGCTGAGTGTGGTAAAACCTGGTAACTGCTTTTGGCAAATGCCAGATGAATTACAATCAGACTCCACAATTTACAATGGGAAGGACTGGGGAAGTGGGAGAACAAAGCCTTGGGGAGCTGCCCGAGGCACACATCCAGAGCATACCAGCACCTACCTTCTCCGCATACTCAGACACAATCTGCTTGATCTCAGCAGAGCAGAGGCCCACAATCTGGCCCACGGAGCTTGCGGTGAGACGGCTCTGCAATCACATGGGGTATGTTCTCAAGGCCAGGTCGAGTCTTTAACAGAACTGAAAAACCTAAATACTGAGTATTACTGTAAAACAGATAACATTTCCAGGGAAAAAATAATTTCCTGTCTGTTCACTTATTTATTAGAAAGAAGGAAGAAAACAGCCTCAAGACAAAAGTTTAAGCTACCTGGCCACCACTTACAGTCACTCAGCTGACTATGCCAGCTTCCCTTCAGGTCTCGGGTGCCCCTGGAAACCACTCCTCACCCCCCTGTGCCATTCCCAGGCCTCCTGAAGGTCGCTGAATAGAGCCAGTAGGGTATTTCATGGGCCCAGGACTCAACGAAAAGAGCAAATCCAGCGGACAGGAAACCTCAGAGCCCCAAAACATCTCTTTACCGCAAAAGAAATGATTCTTCTAAGTACTGTATCCCTGGCAAAACCTTCTAGATGGGCCTTGCACTCTGAAAAGACCAACTATGAACTCTGAATTCCATCTCCTACCTACATGACATTGGAAGGGAGCAGAAGATGGGGGCTCCTTTGGGAGAGTGGAATCTGTGGTTATAAAGAGACAAGGCTGAGCCCTCTTTCCTGCACAGGCCTGCAAGCCAAGGCAGCAGGAACATCCTGTTCCCCAAAAGGCCCTTCAAGTCTCCTGCTTACATCTCCGCAGATGGTAATACTATACATTATAGAACAGCTTCCCAAAAGGGAGGCCCTCAGGAACAAGACACTACTGCTGTAGAGAGAGGAGCCCTCAGGAAGACTTCTCAGAAGACTCACACTCACTCACTCCCCCCCCCCTTTACTCTTACCCATAGCAACCTTACCTCCTCATTTGCCACGGCAGTCATCTTGGTCATCAGTGACTGAACACGCTGCTAAAAGAGGAACAGAAGGAGCAGCAGTGAATGGTTCTGCCACTACAAGACTGAAGCAAATGCCCCTGTAGGTTTCTGTGATGATGTCCCAAGGTCTTTGTCTTAATCTACTTTTATGGCGAGCCTCCTGACAGGTGACGAAAGGGAACTGGAAGGCATGGAACACAGCTCCTGGCTGGCCATTTGGGAAAGCTGAGGATCGGAGTAACATTCTCCGCAAATGAATGAAACCTCAAAGGACCTACACGGGGCACATACCTCTTCAGCTGCCTGAAGGTCATCCTCCTCATGGACATCTGCTTTTTCTGTAGCTGACAGCCCTGCAGAAAGTGGTGTTTTTTTGTCCTCAGCCTAGAAAGGAAGACATGAAAACAGCTGAGCACCGGAGATGGAAATTCCCCAGAGAAAGGAAAACATTGCAAAGAGTATGAGCCTGTTAAAGAAAACACAAAGATATGGAGACCTGAATGAGTCTCTGAGAGGGAACAGATGATCAGAGCCTCAGCTTGCATTCAAGCCACACAGCAGGCGTATCATACTCAGGGCCTGGCTGATGCCGGTGTCCATTTCCCACTGTTCACTGATTAAATAAACACCAGGTCACATTTGCCAAACTTAATCTTCTACTCTAATTTGATCCTCCTCCTACTCTAACGTCTTCAAGGACAGGTCACAGCCAAAGCAGTGTTTCTTTCAACTGCCAGTTGAGATCCATTAGTGGGTAATCTAACAGGCGCTGCTAGAATCTATACAAATAAAAATATCAGTACACATCAGCCTGCTTTGTAGATGGTACAGCATTTAACACAGTACTGTTTAATGGAAGTTTTGTTTTGGGGGGAGTATATGTGTATGGAATCACAATTAAAAAAATAAAATTTTTACTGGTACAAATGATCAAGTTTGAAAACCACTGGTCAGAAGGAAAAAAAAATTCAAACTGCTTCTTCTGTTGAATCTGGATCCAGCCATGGGCTCTCAATATGCTGTGGACCACACTCAAGGCACCAGGGATTAACTGCTCTTCCTCAAACATGGGCTGCAGAACTAGAGTTCTTGGTTTCAATCCTGTCTCTGCCATCTACCAGCTGGGTGACCTCAGACTCACTGCTGATCTCTGGTTATCAGGTCTAAAGGATTAGCCTTACAAGCCTTTCTTGGCTACCACAACCCCATGATGCTTTTCTGTAACAAGCCTATCATTCCCACAAAACACCATAAACTCCTGGACTGCTTAGACATATTCCAGGGGATAAGATTCCAGTCCAAATGGACTGACATAAGAATGACAAAACAAGCCCAATTTGTATGCAATTTCATGGACATCTCATGATCTTTTTTTCTTAACCAAATTGCCTTATTTCAGGATATAGCCATATGCACAGAATTCCTTTCCTATTTAAATCATACATTAAGTGAAATATACATGTCAATCCTTGCTATATACCAGATGACACATGACATAATTCAAGTTCAGAAAACACTGTGCAGGAAATAATTACTTGGTTGAACGAAAACACAAATATGGGGAAAAAAATGAGAAAACAAAAAAGAAGCATTATAATCAGTACCTGCCTAACTGCCAATGAACTAAGAGCTCATGTTTAATGTTTACTGTGTTGGATTATTCTAGGTCCTTCACATTTTAATCTTCACAACAATGCTGTGAGGCAGATACACTGGCTACCTCATTTTAAAGATGTTGTAAGGTAAGGTATACCAATTCTGAAAATTGTCACACAGTGGAGGGGAGGAATTCAGATCTGAAACCAGTCAGTCTGGCTTTAGAATATATATATGCTCTGGCCCCTGTGTGTCCCTGAATGACTGAGACAAGTTACTATAGGAGACCATCTAGGGGTGGGGGAGCTGGACAAGTGAAGGGGTGGCAGGAGAGCAGCAAGAGGAGCATATTCTAGTTGAGGAAATCTAAGATCAGGTGGAAAATGAGAGAAGAAATTACTAAATGATCTGAAGCTGATGGATCCTACTTTTTAAGAGGCCACTGACCACTTTAGTGAGTGTTTTCTTGTGATTACAAGCATAGTCTTTGAGGTCAGACAGACCTGGACTTGGGTTATTATGGCACTTTAAGGTTGTGTGTCCTTGGACAAATCACTAAGCCTCTCTGAGTATAAGTTTTATGACCTAAAAATCACGAGTAAGTATCTTCATAGTGCTGTTAAGTGAAACAATGCAAGCAAACCTCTTAACAAAGGTCCTGGAACACAGTAAGGGTTTATCACTGTAAGATTTATGTGCTTCCTTTGCTACTAAAATTAAGAATCACTAATTAATACATAAGTGAAAAGAAATCATTCAGACTCCTATGTGAAGTTAGAAAATCCCAACTTGACTTACCTGGCTCTTTCACACTAAGCTGTCTTCTGGAGGGCAGGCCTGAAATTTACAGTTGCAGGCCATCTCACTAGTAGTACCCCGTGCACACCTGTCTAGAGGCCCTCATTCTGGGACAGAAGTTCATCTTCACATTTTTAGAGCCCACTTGACTTATTTTCAAACATCCTTCAACTCCAGCACCAGGAGTGAAAGTTCCCTGCCTATAGAGGTGGCAAAATGGAAATTCCAGGACAAACATGTCAGGCAAGGGCAGCTGGCACATCCCTGCCACCCACCTTTCCCAGGGCCAGCCACTCTTCCCAGGCTTCCCAGGAAGCTGGGTCCCAGACTGTCAAAGGGTAATCACTTCCGTCTCTCGGATATTCTCTCCCATTATCTATGCTTTTTCTTACCTTCTCTGTTTTGTTCTGGCGGCTAAATCCGTATCTCCTGTAGGCCACAAAAAGCGGAGTTCAATTACTACTCAAAGATCACAATAAAGTCTGTCAAATGCATTTTGGTTTGATTTTTATATCAAAAGCATCAAAGAGAATTCAGGCTATTTGGTGCCTGGAGAAAATGCTTCAAATGTCTTACCCAGGAACACAGTCCAGCATTCTTTGAGTAAAGGGCCATCTATCTTATGTGCTATACAATTACTGTACACAGGAACTCTTCTTTGGTAGAGACATTTTCCTTAAGTGAAATCATTAGTCTTTGAATCAGGAACTGTGTTTCAGAACCACAGTGTATGCTAAAAGCCTTTAAAATATCTGTGTAAACAAATGTGAATGTGTTTGCTCAAGTCAAACATGCTCTATAGTGTTACTTTAATAACTTCAAATCTAGCACATCTTTTTATTCTCAAACATACCCCAAGCATGATGTCAATAATGTGACTCACTTAATGCAACCTGAATTAAAACACACATATAGACACACAAAATGCACTTCTGTTTAAATTAGGTTGTCTTCTGGCTCTAGTTAATCTGTCTTAAAAAAAAAAACAAGTACAACAAAGCAAAAACGAAAACAAGAACAATGCAAAACACTGAGCCTCACGTACTTGAAAGAGTCTGTAAGGAAATAACGTTACATGCAACCACTTAAAAAAAAAGACTACACACTTGCTCTGTCCCCAGCATGCCATGCCTTGCCTGCCTGACCCAATGCTACCTCTACTGTTCTGGTGCCTGCAGCTTCATTCCCTTCATCCTGCTGTGTATTCGTTATTCAACCTTATGTTGCCTGATGCCTGTTTGTCAATGGCAGGCCTCTCCTCTCAGGAGAAAAGAAATCTCCCTCAGCAGCCACAATGCAGACTCTCACTGCCATGTATACTCCTGCTCTGCTCCTTCTACTGCCTGAACAGGGAGTTTGGCACACATTATTCTCTAACTCATTTCCCAATTTACCCCTCATCCTTCAACCTCTCAGCTCTAAAGCAGCTTTCTCTCCAAAGCACCTAATACACACGCACATGCGCGCACACATACAGTCCTGGTCCATCCATCTGGCATTGGGCAGACTCCTTTCATTTCCCAGACAGCAAGTGTATCACTACTTGGTTACATGTCTTCATCCTTCTTGAGGGCAATAATCCTACTTTTACATTCTGTCTTCTTTTTGTGATGGTGGGATTGAACCAAGGCTTCTTGTATGCTATGAAGCATACTACCATGGAGCTACCTCCCAGCCTCCCTTTTATATTTTGTATCTCTAATGTTTACTGAGTAAACATAAATGAAAAAATACAGAAATCAAGATGCTGTAAGTGTAGGCTGGGCTTTTTGTCATATAACTGGAGAACTGGGCAATGTGCCTGTTTTTTTAGGAACAATTCTACAGGACCAAAGTATAGCAGACTGATTCTAAAGCTATTTAGGTCTCCACACAAATTCTGTAAAGGGCCTTAGGGCAGATTCTGTGAATTGGCTTAATCAAAATTGATTACATCTTCCTGTAGTACTATTGCAGAAACAGAAAAAGACTGTTTTCCATACTTCTGTGTCGCTAGGGTTCTGATTGCTATTTAGGAATCATTTGCTGGAGTTGTGAACGTGGAACAGTTAAATGAGGAGATAGGGAGGGCACTGTACTGGCATAGATCACACTAGAAGTGTGGTTTCAGGATCAACAGCTGTCACAAAGGCTTGCTGGTCTTGCAGAGAGCTTACTGATTTTGGCAGAAATGGTGTGGTTCCCTGTGGGGAGCTGCAACACTACTTCCCTAATTCCCCCGGTTGCTAGCTAGCTTCCTTAGCATATAGCCAAAAGCAGCTCTCCTGGCCCAGCTCTAATGTGAGGCCTGGGAGCTGAGCTTGGTACCCATCATTCCCTGCAATCAATGAAGCCCTTTGGCTGAAACTAGTGTCAAGACCCTGTTCTCACACAGGGAACCCTGACCAACACACGGTCTCACCAAAGCTTCCCACTCCTGTCTTTGAACCTAGAGCATTCCTTCCTTTTCTAGGACTTTAGTATGTGGAGATCCTGAGGGCAGAGGACACACCCTCAGGTAGCAAGGCCTGACCTAAGGCCCAGAGGCTTTATGAATTATCCAAATGGAGCAATAAACAACTAAATCTGAATGACTCAATCCCCAAGTCCCATGTATTCCTCCATAAAGGCAGATTCTAGGAAAACTCTTCTGGCCACTTAAAAGCAGGTTAGCTTCCCACTTATGTGTGTCTTCTTTATATCACAAGCACACTCATCACAGAGTGTTAAGTAAATATCTACTATATATACTTCAGGCTTGCCTCTTAAGCTCCTGGAAAGAGGAATTTGCTTTATTCACATTTATTTTTAACATTAAAAAAACAGGGGTAATTTGGTGGGTGCAGGTTTGTAACATCCACACTTAGGAGGCTGAGGCAGGAGGATCATGAATCTGAGTCCAACCTTGGCTATATAGCAAGTTCAAGGTCAGTCTATGATACATAGCCAGATGCAACCTCAAAAAATCAACAAATAAATATCAAAAACTAAAAAAAATGAGGTATAATTCATATAAAATTCACCAACATAAAGTATGTATTTGTTTGTTTAGTATACTCACTATGTTGTGCAAACATCAGCTTAAATACAAAATAGTTTTATCACCCCAAAAAGAAACCCTGTACTTATTATTAACAGTCCTAATTCTCCCTTCTAATCAACTGCTAGCTACCATTAATCTACCTTCTTTTTAATTAATTAATTAATTAATTTATTTATTTATTTTTTGGTTTTTTGAGACAGGGTCTCACTATGTAGTTGAGGCTGACCTGGAACTCACTATGTAGCCCAGGCTGGTCTCGAACTCACAGTGATTCTACTGCCTCAGCCTCCCAAGTGCTGGGATTACAGGCGTGCGCCAGCACACCTGGCTCATTAATCTACCTTCTGTATTTACCAATTTGCCTGCTCCTTTCATCCAAGTGAAATCATGTAATATATGGTCCTCTTTTAATTAGCACATTTTCAAGGCTCAACCAGTTTGCAGCATTAAAAAGTACTTCACCCCTGTGCATGGCTAAATAACATCCCATTGTATGGCAAAGCCACATTTTATTTATCTGTTCCTCAGCTAAGCATATGGGTTGTTTCTACTTTGGGCTATTATAAATAAATCTGTTAAGAACACTCCCATATATCATTCACTTTCTTATTGCCACTGACTACTTAGTTTGGAGTCTGGCACAAAGCGGGGACCCAATAAATGGTTGCTGAATGAAGAATTCAGTTGATTTTTCTCCAGGGTTCCCTCTCTGTGTGGCAGAGTAGGTAGCACTGCTTTCATGAGAAAGAGCGGCTCTCAGCTCCTGAAAACACCTGCCTCACTACATTCACTTGTCTTTGTAACTCTGAGAGAATACTCCATGCTTGTCTGATTTTTACCAAGGGACTACAATAGCCCTCTCTGTGTCTCTCAACCTTCAGAAAAAGGAAAGTGCTTTACCTTGCTTCTATCAGAAAAGCACCTACTTTCCTTTTCTCCTTGCTAGTGATGCTGCTTTACCCTATGTCCTCTCTTTCCCTGTCCTCCTAACCCTGCTCTTCTTTCCAAGTGCCAGCACCATGTGCTCACAGCACCTTGTGCTTCCACCTGGCCCTGCTTTCCCCTCCTTCAGATGTAACTAACTGTCTTATACCATCAGCACCATGGAGCTTTAGTTCTTTTGTCATCAAGTTTACATACTCATACCCTGGACCTAGGACACGAGTCCAGGATGTACACCTTCTGAAGTAGCACTAGCGAAAAGAAATATAACAAGAGCCACAGACATGATATTTCTAAGTAGTAAAGTAACACACCTAAGTTATTCCAAACATATTCATTTGTTTTCAGTAGCTAAATCAAGCATGAGTTTTTAAATTAAAATTCTGTTCCTGGGCAGTGCTAGTCACATTCAAACAGCTCAATAGTCATATACACCTACTAGCTACAAAAGACATCACCATTCCAGAATACAAACTAATATTCCAGAATAAGTGCCTTAAATAAAAATAAATCTATTTGGAATCCAGAACGGGCATAAAAAAGCTGTAAATATTAGAGACTGTAACTTTATTCTTTGTTTACTCAATAAGAATTTACTAAGTATTTCTATGAGCATGTCATATAGGGACAAAAATAGCTTGGGAATGACTTGTATTTTATTTCCTGGCTACAGAATGACTGCAAGCCAAGTAAAAATTAAGGCTCTAATACTATGGAATAAATTAACTCTAACATCCTAGTGGTTACACTTGAAAACTCCTCTTGAATGCCAAATATTCAGGCTATCAGACACATTTTTTCATAGTACCCATTTTGTAACATAGTTAGGTGTTCAAGTTAGCCTCCAGATCAATAATTAAAAAAAAAATTACAGGATTGTAATTTTACTTTAAGTATAAAATCAAGACTGTAAGTCTTGTTATTTTAAAACCAACAATTAGAAAAATATACTCAAACACATTTTAACAGGTATGAGTCCTTAAGACCTTTAGCACTGCTGCCTAGGCTCAAAGTTCTGCTTTATTTTAGTAATTCCAAGTCAGAAAAGGGGGAAGAAACTAAAATGCTGACTTCATAGCAAGAGAGCACTGGAGGTTTAAGGCTATGATCAGTAATCTGTGACACTATTTTCAGATCTTGCTGTAGGAATTAGAAAACTTTCCCTCTTGTCAAGAGATCAGTTGGAAAACAGAAATCCCTGGTCACAGATGAGGGATTTGGACTCCCACAATCATGTGCCATTTAGTAAGGATGAGGAATTCAATAGTACCAGCAGTGAAGGGAGAGGGAGGCTGGAAACCTAGCAGAGGATTCACCTGGCACGACTGCAGAAGGGGAAAAAGGTGAGACTTCCCACACACGTTGAAGGGAGGGTTAGTGCACAGGGACATGGAGGACTGGGAGGAAAGACTCAGGATAGAGGGTTCATGTGAACCCACAGATCATATTTGAGTGCATTTGAGAGCTAAACCTACTGCTGCTGCTACTGACAGAAACAAAAATGATGACAGCTAGTAGTTCATTTACATAAGAAAAATGGCTCAAAAAATTCATTACATATATATATTTTTATATGAGTCTAATTTAATGGAGAAGAACTCTAGGCAGTAGGGAAGAGTATGGAACAGAATCCGGAAGAAAGACTCAGATGGCCAGAGAGAGGGATAGGTATTTCCAGGGAGAGTGACCACCTTAAGTTTTATCTAATTTGCTCTGTCAGTCTCATTAACTACTATATTCCTGTTCGGTCCCAGACTAAATTATAGATTAGGTTTGCCTTTCTAAAATCATAAGCCTAACAATATATTCTCACTGTAGCATCAAACAGTTTTTGCAGGCAATGATAACAGTATGCTGTTAAGAGTTCATGAGACAGAATTACAGTCCTAGTTTGAGTCTCTTAGTAGTTCTGTGACCTTAGACAAGATGTTTTCCAACCATTCCAAGTACCATCACTATTCTTCTTAAAGAGAGAAATAAACTAAATAAATGAGAATGCAAAAAGTGTCCACTATCCTACCTCCCCTAAACTCATCCTCTAACAGGAAAACACAAAAAACAAAAACAAAAACAAAGCAGAGCAAAACAAACACCACCACCACCAAAAAACCCACAAACACCACCAAAAATAAACTAAACTGCTACTCCTGCCTAAGAAATGAGTGTAATTCAGTATAATCCCCACCAAAAGGAAGGAAGACAGGTATTAAATAAGATCCTTAGTGCTTTGTCTTACTCAGAATTTAGAGGAATTACAAAAACCTGTGCCTTGCTCCCTTCCCTAAAGGGAGTGAAGCCACATACTGGCCTCAAACTGCATCAAACAGTCCAAGGTAAGTAGGACTATTCTGGGCTCACAGTGCCTTCACATGGTGACAACTGCCATCTACAACCCATACACAAAAACCCCATTTGAGACTGAGAATTATCATAGTAAGATACTGAAATACTGTTAACATGGTCTCACTGAGGTAGGCAATTTACTGAATTTATGACACCTTTTCATCCCCAGGACTATCTAAGAAAAAAAATGGATGCGTGAACAATATAAACTAACAAAATTCTCCACATTCCCACAAGCATGATTCAACTCTGGGGCATGTGATGCTACCAGAGCTTTTCTTTCCCTCTCTGGCCTTTCCAGAGCTGTGTGGCCTCCCCTACTCACAATATGGTATACTGGCTGGAGAGATCCTCTCACAGAGCTTGGGAGTGAGGTGGGCAAGTTGAAGGGGGATGAAGGAGTGGGTGGATGTTTATAAGCAGGCAACCCACCCACAAGCATAGAGCCCCACACTTGGCCCTATACTTGGCTGTTATTGCTGTCTTATATCTTCCACTAGGCTTCCAAAATTATGTAACTGGTCTGGAATCCTGACTCAGGCATCACCTAACTATGAGTTGTGAAGGCAGCCATCACATCCAGTGTAGGGCCAGAACGAGCTTAACTTTTTAAAAAAGACAGACCAGTTTTACCCTTCAGAAGGAAAGATTTGCCTTCATACTATCACATCAAAGAAAAAAGTTATGCCTTTCCTTGGAAAGCTACAATAATTAAGCCTACTTTCCTTCCTACTGGTTTTCTCCAGTACCCTGAAGGAGGAGAAAGCCATCAGATACTCATCAGGGAGATGCTAATGACAGTGTAGTTAGTTCCAACCACCCAAGAAGGGCTGTACGGTAAGGCAAAGCACTGCACAGGAACCTCTGCAAAAACAGCAGAAGGAGCAGGAGGAGACATACTTACATCAAAGGAGCAGATACTCTAAGTAGAGAATGCAGGACATAAATGAAGGTTAATACCCAGTGTCAACCGAAACATTTAATGATGAGAAGCAGTCCTTGTAGGTTTCAAAAGTAAAAATAGATTATAAAATAACTTTAAAAAACTAGGTATTGTTAGGGAGGGACAACACTACTTCAAAAGTCTTTACTTCTCTAATTAGGGCAATAGTAACAGAAATTCAAACTTATCATTCTAACAGTGTAAAACTTCTGAAAATGCTTCCATTTCTTCTACTTACTAAAGGTTTTAATAAATGGCAGGGCTTGAAGGTCAGACATGCCAGAGCCTCTATAAATGCCCCAGAAGGGCAGGGCCAGAGCCACAGTTATAAACACATTTCCAGAGGACAACTGCAAGCGCAAGCCACACAAACTTTGCTAATATCAGAGAAAAAGTCACTGATGCTGGACATCTCAGGGATAAAATAATAAACTTGGTCAGATAGAAGCCAGTTAATCCAAATGAAGCAATTTATATCAGCTTTTCTTTTATCAAACAAACACTTAGACTGGGCCTTATTTATTACCTGCCATATTCCAAAAGCGTAGAATGGATTCGAGATTCTTCATCAAGTAGCTCCTCGGCTCCCTCTTGACGTTTGTACTTCCGACGGGGCTTATAAACATCCTAAGTGAGTGAAGCAGACAAGTTACTGAGTGTAAGAAGGCTCTCCTAAACAGCCAGGCAGGGCCACAAGTCTTTCCCAGATAGAACTGCCTTTAGGAAATTTCTTCTACAGGAGGCAGAGACAGAAGGCTTGTGAAAGCCTGGGTAAGACCATGAATTGCACTTCTGGTTATTTGAGATGATCTGTTTATGCTTACACAGCATGTTAGTGGAGAAACAGAAAAGAGAGGGACCTTCACTTAATCATTTAAGTTATTACAATGACCAGTGGTCAATGACAGAGATTCAAGTGCATAAATTTATGAATCAACAACCCTGCCCAAAAAGTTAATACTGTGTTTGCTATGTACCCTTCTACATCATTAACAGATATGAAAAGTCAGTGTCTTTTTACTGTTGCATAAATAAAAATGATGGAACAAAACCCAGAAAGCAATCACTCTTATCTTTTTGGGGTACTCTGAATTTGTTTTAAGTTACATAATTTTATAAGTGGATATATTCCTGTTAAAATTTCAAACAGTATGAAGGATGCAATTTTTTTTAAAAGTCCTGCCATGCCTTCTTTTTCCCTAAATCTAACTTCTCTTCACAGACACGATTATCTGTCTGTCTGATAGGTGCACAGCCTTCCAAACCTTTGTATATTTACATAATTATAGATATATAACATACATTTTTAGATAGCTTTTCCTATATAAGGGGAAATATAATCAGTGTATAGTTCTATAACTTACTATATTTTCAACAACATATATTGGTGGGTGATATTTGCATGAAATAAACACACAAATCCACTTCACTCTTTTAAGCTAGATGTAATATTCCTTAAAATAGATATTGCCTAGTTTACATAACCTACTGAAGCTCAGTTAGGTAACATTCAAGTTTTTAATTATAAACAATGCTTGTACTTTTGTGGAAGTAAATCAGTAACACAGAAACTTAGAAATAAACTCACTGGTTCAAAGGGAAAGGTGTTTATCTACCAAGCTGAGCCAAACAAAGACACAAACTGTATTGATTTAAGTGCCTAGCAATTTGTTAACCATACCTTTGGCAATAGCAAACATTTATAAACTTTTAACTTTTACATGTCTTATAAGTAAAAACTACTTCAGTATTTTGATTTTCACTCTTTAAATTAGTGAACCTGGGAGTCTTTTTATCGCCACTTATCTACTCATATGCTGTTCTTCTGCTAATTAACTTGTCATTTTCTTACTGATCTGTAAACATGTTTTATAATCTGAGTATTGTTTCTTTCACTACTACTCCTTCTGTAACAAATATCTTCACCCAAATATTAAAGTCTATCAACTTTCAATTTGGTAAGTTTTGGTTCTATGACATTTCAATGTTTTTACATATTCAGTTTTATTATTTTCTTTACAGTGCCCAGATATTTTTGGCAGTATAGGTGATTGAACCAAGGGCCTTGGCACTGATCTACCTTTCCACCAACATCCCTTCATGTTTTATTTTGAGCCAAGGTTTCATCAAGTCTCCAAGTTCCCAGGCTAGGCTTAAACAAGTGATCCTCCTGCTTCAGTGGTCTACCACAGCTGGCTTCACTTCTTAATCCACAGATTGTTTAAAAAACATTCATGTTACTTTTATAGTGTATGTTTAGATTATAATTTACATTTGGACTCAAGCTATTAAATTTTTTTTGCTATAGTGAAAGGTGGAAATCCAACTTTTTCTTCTGAACAAAAAATTAAGAATCCAACACTGGGCTAGGGAATTAGCTCAGTGGTTCCGCCACCTGCCTTGTACATACAAGGCCTGAGTTTGATCCCCGTACCAAAAAACAAAACAAAACAAAACATCCCAACACTTAAAAGTCTATCCTACTACAGATTTGAAATGGTACCTACATAAACACTGAATTTCATGTCTGTTTGTCTTTCTCATACTGTCTCTCCACTGTTCTTTTTTTCAAATTTCCTGTCTTAGTTACTTTTCTCCTTGCTGAGACAAAATACCCTCACCCAAGGTTAAAGGGGAAAGGGTTTATTTAGCTCACAGGTTGTAGAAGTTTCAGTCCATAACTGCTAGCTCCACAGCAGAGTGGCACATGGCAGAGAAACATCACAGAGAAGAAACAGCTCATGGTGCCCACATGGTAGCAAAAGCAACAAGGGAGTAAGGGAGGGGCCCTCAACAGTGTATTTCTGCCCCGTTCATGCAGACTACTTAGAGCACCCACACCCTTAATCCAGTGCCTTTCATTGCACTAGGAATCAATTCCAGAAGCCCCACCTGTGACTGCATGAGGCTTGGGAAGACATCTAAACACAAGCCATAACATTTCCTTAAACATTTTCTCTTCCAAATGAATTTCAGTATCAGCCTGTCAAGTTCACTATAAAAAATACTGTTGGTAGTTTATTAGTCACACCAAATTTAGATTACTTTGGGAAGAACAGAGACCTTTATAATACCAACTCTCACCTTGTGAAGCAAGGATTTTGATTTCTCCTCTGAAGTCTTTTTTTTATTCTTGAATGCAAACTTTGAAATGAATAGTCATTACATAATCAAGACCCTTTTACCATCCAGAGCCATGAGCCAGTTTACCCATCACAGACATATACGTTAAGAGTCCTAAAAATAAAATGTCTGTATGTCAAAGGAGATTTCAATTCATTTAGACTCTAATACCAGAAAAGTAGAGTGATTAAAAACACTTAGAGTAATGTATCTTATGTTATCCACATTGGTCTTGAAATCCTAGGCTCAAGCAATCCCCCTGCTAGCCTCTTGGGTCTAGAAAACAGGTTTGTGCCACTGCTCAGCTAGAGTACATTTTAGAAAATGTAGATATAAATATAGATCAATTTTGTATGGCACACATTCTGAAGTGATTTTATACACACACACATTTATACATACTATCAAGTATATAGCGGGTGCTCAATAAATGCAGGCCTTCTCCCCAGGTGACCTACTTTGTCATTCTACCCCAAATGAATGTCCTTACTGCTAGGTGGGCAGTCAATTAATACCTCAGTAAAATTTGCTCAGGTTTGCTGTGAGCAGGCGGCTGTTGTGCCAAAAAGGAACTAGATGCTTGTTCTTGGAAAATCCCATGACAAACATTACTAACAGCTTTCTCCAGATAGTGGCATTTTATTCCACTTAAAATTGTGTGCTGCCACCTCCCCATAATTCTGGTTGTGTTACTATTTTACTTTTAATTATAAAAAGTTTCAAACAATCTGTGCCACACTATAAAATCTCAACAATTCTGTGGAAAAGGGAAAAATAACATGGCCTGAGGCAATGCTACAAGGTTGTTCTCACAAATTGCTGCGAGTATTCTCTGGTTTTCTCCTGGTATTCACAGGAATGGTAAGCTATAAATAACAGACAGACTTATATGAAGTGAAAAATATAATGACGTTATTGTGTGTAATTTAATTTTCACTGAAATTGAATAGCTCTACTATTATAAATAAACAGCTCTACTATTATAGGAATGCTATATAATTGAGCTTAAGTGCTACCTTCCTTAGTTACCAATGAAAGAGTCAATGACCCAAGGCAAGAAATTGGATTCTTCTAAAAAAGGACTGATTCTAAAACAACAGAATACTGAGAACAACAGTTAAAAGTACCTTTTATCCTGCCATACAACGATGTTGGCTTTTTATATACTTTCTACTTTAAAGTATAAACCTTCATATAAAGAAATACCTCAGTTCATAAACTCAATTCTTCCCATGATTCTGGTTGAAAACCAAATTAGACCAGAACCAATCAAATTCAATGGTTAGGTTCAATGTTGACTTTATGGGAAAATTTGATTCGGTTCTCATCCAATTCTGTTTGCAACTAGAATCATAGAAAGAATTAAGTTCATGAACCAATGGCATTTTTTTTTAGGGGGGCGGGGAATCAAACTTGGGACCTTGCCCTTGTGAGGCAGGCGGTGGAACCACTGAGCTAAATCCCCAGCCCTCGATTGCATTTTATAACTATACTGTGAAGTAGAGACAAGGTACATAATAATAATTTTTACTTTACTAAAGAAGCAGGGGTGAAATAATTTGTCCCAGATCCCTAAAACAGTATTAGGCCTGCAATAGTATTAAGCCATAGGTTCCTTGGCTGCTAATTTCGAAGCTTCCTCCTCTACTAATTTGCCTGCATAAACATTTTAGCCACCCATCAGGCATTTCTTCTAGCCCTCTCACAAGACTCCTACTACTTGTAGAAGCCATATGGATCATTACAACAGTCTATAAAGCAATAAAGACCTAAATGTCAGTTTTCTAGGCCACTGTAAGATAACTACTGCCAAATAACTCTTTAAAGCAACAGCAGTCAGCAATGTTATGTAGTCCTCTCTCTGCCATTAACCAACCGCATGAAGTTGGGAAAGAGGTTCCCCTCAACAAGCGTTATCGGTTTCCTTATCTGTAAAATGAGCATGGACTAACAGATCTGGGAGGATATTCCCAGTCTTTCATTCTTTGCATTCTTTTAAACCAATAAAGATATTGATTTGGTAACATAATTATGTCAGTATCTTCAAGTCTGAGGTTAATTAAAAAAACACCATGCTTTACACATGATTATGTTCTTTTTAAAACAGGCATACAGAATCGACTTACTCTTTTGTCATTAACAGTGATCATGGTGGTAATAGCTATCATTCAGTAATGGTTGATTGTGCCAGGCAGGTATACTGCTCTCTATGTGCTGCCCACTTGGTTCTTACACACATTAACACAGTATCCTGCCTGTCTAGGCAAAGAAGTTAAAAATCTTGCCCACAGTTACCAAGGCAGTAAAAGAGACAGGAGGATACCAAAATTGGGACTCAGAAGCACTCTGTAAAATGTTTTATGTCTCAATTCAGAACATTCTTCATCTTGGACTCTGCTCTTTTTGTCTTGGCAAAAAATAAAGGACACACAAGTAGGGTTTAAAAACAATTAAGGTCACCCTTTTGTAAAGTAGAATACTCCTGTACTATGAGAGTCAGATCTCAATTTGCAGGTCTGGTTAATTGGTCCACCTGTCATGGGTGACACCTCTGAGCCCACATTTCAAATGGCCGTACAGGGAAGTAGAATATCAGCACCACAGCAGTTGTCTGCCGCAAGTCCCTGATCACTGCTCTCACCATTACCAGACACCTACTTTACTGAAAATGGAGCAGGCCGTCAATCTGGCATTCTACATTCAAAAGCTCTAGTGGTCAATGATACTCAACTCTCAGGAGGTGACATTTCCCTGCCTCTGTTACTTTAACTTCTGTGGTTACCCACCTGTAAAATAGGTGTAAGAATTGTGAGTACTAGCTTATCAATATATTTAACAGTACCTGACACACAGAAGGGGCAAAGATATATATTCATATTTATCTATTAGCTATAGAATATTGATACATATTTATAACATACCTATATATAAATGTATGTATTTTTTATCAGGAAAATGTATGCTACTGTTTTACTGTCACCACATCTACATTTTATATGCTGGATGAAGATCTTCCTCACAGCATTCCCTATGGAAGATAACACTGCAGTAGGAATTCTACATCTGATCTTTTAAAATTTGATCTCTTCAGTGATCAAATAAGTTCAACAAACCATTTCCTTCCAAATGGAAGCTCTAAGAAGTCCTTTTCCTTCTTTTTCTCCTTCTCCTTCTCCCCCTTCCCTTTCTTGTCTTTCCTTCTATAAAATTCTAAACACTACAAAAATATAAATATTTGGGGGCTTTGGGTAAAATTTTATAGGTACTCTATCTTTATCCAAAGTTAAGAGCAAGTAAAAGACTACTCACAGGACACATCCTTCGTGGATATGGAGGGCTGACTGCTCAGAAAGGGAATAAGTGCTGCAATAGCACAAGTGAAACACATGAGCTGATTACGATATGACTGAGAAATTGAAGGAGAGTGAGAGAGGACTACACTGGGGAGTTTCCATTTGCTATGGACTCTCCAATTACCATCTTCCAAAGGAGAGATCTTCTGTAAAACAGTTATTTTGTGGAAAAAAAAAAAAAGGTTGGGGAGTCGGGAAGAAGAAAGTAACATATTCAAACAAAAGCAAAAATATTTAATATCCAGGAAGAAGACAAACGAGGCCAAGACAAAGAGAATACCCAAACTGACAAGCTCAAATATTAAAATTCACTACAGTTTTCTGCTTGGGTATCTGGCAAGTGGTCTAATAGCTGTCAGCATAGCCTTTGACCCAATTCTACTTTATGAAATATATCCTAGTAAACAGATAAAATTTTGCTATGAGGATGTCCTATATAATGATCCAGAAGAAAAAAGATGCCAGCTAAACTAATTAAATTAGTTCTCTACAACAAATAACCTGCAGCCACTAAAAAAATACATTGTACATTTACGGCCATGGAAAGATATTCTCAATCTATTATTAAGCAAAACAATCAAGCAACAAAACAGAACATATTGTATAAAGTTGTTTTTTTCATGATTTTTATACAGTGATATCCCTACCTCTCTTTCCTACTTATTATATCAGTGGTTATCACTAACGGTGGTATGTATTATAGCTAATTTAATCTTCATATTTCATTTCCTAATATTTCATTATCGTACTTCAGTATTAGTACTACAGAAAAATAACCTTTTTTTTTTTTTTTTTTTTTTTGAGACAGGGTCTCACTTTGTAGTGAGACTGACCTGGAACTCACTATGGAGCTCAGGCTGGTCTCAAACTCACAGCAATCCTCCTGCCTCAGCCTCCCTGTGTGCTGGGATTACAGGCGTGTGCCACCACGCCCAGCAAAAATAACCTTTTAAAACAAAACAAAATCATGTGCCAAAAAACTGGATGGAGAACATAGCCAAAGACAAATGCAATGCAAAGAACTGGAACAGTTTTTTTTTTTTTTGGTGTCAGGGATCGTACTCAGGTCCTTGCGCTTTCGAGGCAGGAGGTAGAACCACTGAGCTAAATCCCTGGCCCCAATGGAACAAGTTTTTAAGGATGGCCAAAGGCAAGAATAAGCTAAATACTTAACATTTAAATGTTTAGTATCTATTTCTCAAAAACAGGTCATGTGGTGAGGTCACCATGGTGTTGTGGTATCATGGTGACAGATAAAGACGGCATCAGGACAGCCTCCACCTGGAATTCATTCTCCCATCAGCAAATGGAAGAATGGGACATGCCCCTGAGAACTGAGGAGGGGGTAAAGGATGTCCAACCACCATGGGTCAGTGCATGAGTCTCTGGGACCCAGGCGAACAATAAGTCAGAGTCCAGAAATATGGCAGCAATGCCAAATGGGAGACAGGAATGTGTAGTAAGTAGAGATCAGGGGAAGAGCTGGAAAATGGGAAAACTAGCCATGTTGTGAGGGAGTCAGATGTAGATCAAAATTTGGTTGTCTCTTTCTTGCTCTAAAGGTATACGGGGAATTTACTAACCTGTCTACACTTCAATTTCCTGGTTTAGAAAATGGAAATAACATATAACTCTCTGAGTGTTGATGAGAATTAAAAACCTCATTAGGTGCCAGATACTCAATAAGTACATGGCAGCTACTTACTGTACTTGTTTTTTTGGTACTGGGGATCAAATTTCAAACCTTGTGCTTAGGAGGCAGGCGCCATGTCACTGAGTTAAATCTCCGGCCCTGATGTACATATTTTATAAAAGACTGGGTCTGGAAACTAGACATCTTGATCATGTTTTATTCCTTAACTTCTCATTCACAATTTAAATTTGTGATTCTAAACTTATCAATATAGGGCAGGCACATAGCACCTACAAGCCATCTGGAAGGGGAAGAGAACACCCTCCACAACCTAAGGCCTAGGAAGAGGACAGGTTTCCTTCCCTCTAAGAAGGGACGGATTTTATTATGGGCAAATACAACAAATAAACTGAAAGCTGTTCATTTCAGAATGTGGCTCACAACACATGCACTACAGCCTTAGCATTTCCTGTAAACTTCTGGGACTCATTTCAAACCAGCTGAGGAAGTCCATGCAGAAGTGGCAGAAAAGAAAGGGATGAACATTAAGGGCAACAGAGCTCAGCTGAGAAATCCAAGACAGCTTCTGAGAAGTGTTTTCAGTAGATGAGAAAACAACACCCAAAGGTAACCTCCCATCAATCCATAAAAATTCTATATTATTCCTGCTAAAAACTTGTGCTTTAAGAACACACATAAAAAAGAAAATGAACTAAGATATATAAATTCTAATTGAAGAGACTCACACATTTTTTTCTCTTTTCCAATATTCTCATATTGTTTTCTAATCAGCTGCTACAGTGCTTTAGAGGGTCATGGCAGAGGGATTAACCAGGTTTGAATCTTGGCTCTAGCATTACCATCATGACCTTGGATAACTGCGATTCTCAGGATACTCATTTGTAAAGAAGTACTACTAATTCATGGACTTGCTGTGAGAAGTAGATGTATTAGAAACATTCAGAATAATGTTTGGGGACTATGTCCATCATCGTCTCCTCAAAGTCTTTGCTTGTTATTTTGAGACAGGGTTTCACTATGTAGTTCAGGCTGGTCCTGAACACTTGGTCTTGAACACACTATGCATCCCAGGCTGTCTTCAAACTCATGGCAATCCTCCTGCCTCAGCCTCCCATGTGCTGAGATTACAGGCATGTGACACAATACCTGGCTATATTTCTTCAAATTCTATGCAGTCACATCACCAAGCAAAAGCGGATTAAAAAACAAAAACAAAACTCCATTACAAATGACAAAAAGAAATAATATATCTGTGGTGGACTATAACTATTTTGTACGTATAGAGATGAGAGTTGGCAGATCCAACTTCACTGATAGGAAGTCTAATAGCTATATAAACCTTTTTGATTTCTGAGTTATATGACTGAATACTTGTATTTCCATATGTTCTCACTCTGTATCCAAGACTCAGAGTGAGATTTAAACATAAAGTTTATTCGGTTAAGATTAAAATTTTAACTTATACTATTTTTGAGTAGATGATACATAAATAGCATGAAATTCAAATAGTACAAGCACTATTAACAATGTTTCTTTGGTTCTAGTTCATGGTGTCTTGAAAAAGACCAGCTTGCTGGGCACAATGGTGCATGCATGTAATCCCTGCACTCAGGAGACTGAGGCAAGAGGATCACTACAAATTCGAGGTTACCCTGGGCTATATAGTCATTTCCAGGCCAGCCTGAACTACAAAGTGAGGCCCTGTCTCAGAAAAAAAAAAAGAAAAGGAAAAATCTGGGAATGAGCGCAGATGTATAGACTCCCAGTGATTAAGTTGTACCATGTATGGTGACAACAGCCACTACACAGTTCCCACACAAGATTCAGAAACTGCTCGGTCTCTTCAGAATCAAGGTAGGAGTAGATGTACAGCACTACTATCAATTTATCATTTCCAGTTCATCGCCTGCTCTTTGGAGTAATTCAAAATTTACTTCTGCCACTGCAATAAATGAGGAAGCACTCTGCATCTGGGTATTTCTCCCTCAAAACCGAAACCAAGATCTCAGGCACTGGTTATGGCACATTCTACCTGTACATAGTGGTGTCCTCACAGTGAGCACATTGAAACGGTATAGGCTTCTCCAATATCTATCAAAGCTTAGCTCCTGGGCAATCCCAGCAGCTGATCTACGAGTTACAAAGGGCTTTTCGAGACTGCAGTGCTGGTCCCAGGACAGAAGAATATGAGTAAGTGAACTTACTGAGAGGTTGACAACTGTCTTGATGGCCTTGTCTTTTCTCTTTATGAAGTCATCATCCTGAAAGGCAAAAACACAGGAATTAAACAAATTCCATATAAAGATTAAAACAAAATAGGAGCCCTCAAAAATCTTCCTTATAAACCGACTCATCAATATGTTGCTTCAAGCCATCTTGAATTTCTAACAAACGAATATACTGTATTCTCCATGGAAAAAGGCTAGGATATCTGCAGATGCCTTCAGCACAGATCCATTCTGCCAATAAGAAGATCGAGGGCCATGGACTGTAGTCATTAAGGGAAGTGATCTCAGCAGAACGTGGACAGTAACACCGATTTGAAGGGACAGTGGCATATGACATGTTGGCATGCAGCAAGTGGTCCACAGTGCTTAGCTATTATTACTGTTGCTTAATTATTGCAAATAATTACTATAGAAATGTCTTCAGCAAGTAATCTCTCAAAAACTTTACATAAATGTACACTCTTGTTTTTCTAATTTAATAGAAAGAAAATGGCACAATCTAGGGCTTTACACTCTATGACCATCTAAACAGGCATTTCTATCGAAGCACAAGGCCTACTTCAATGCTGGGTGACACCAAGAGGGGACAGACTAAGCTTATTGTCCTCCTTTCTGGGGAGACTCTAAGTGTGCACTCATGTTCTCAGTGGACAAAAAAGCAAAGCATAATACTGACCTCAGGGAGACTGTAGGTTTTCTGGAATTGGGATATAGAGTAGGAACGGATATAGTCACCCATCTCTTCTCTTGTTTCTATAGCTCGTTTCACCAGCCACTGGAAAAAGAAGTAAGGAAATGTAAGTCAACAGGAATGAAATCTCACTGTGGCAAAGGCCTGCTCAGAGATAATACGTCTTCTGAACAGAGATCCATACAGTTATCCTAACAAAAAAGCAGTTGGCAGGGAACCTGAGATGTTAAGGCCCAGTTGGACCACTGCTGAGTAGCTGCATAGGTGTTCTGAAGTTGTACTTCATTCACATCCTTAGGCTTTAGTCTGCCTCTCTGTAAAGGGAGTATCTGTTCTTTGATATTACTGATAGTACAGAGTTATTGTAGGAGCAAGTGAAATCACAACAGAGTGCTTTGTAAATACCTAAAGCATAAGGGAAAATATAGCTATCTATCCAACCACTGGCCCTAGTGGCAGCTCTTAACATAAACTCTTTCCTGTGCTACTTGCACCACAGAATAGGGAAAGGGGAGAGAGTCACAGACAATATCTCATACAATCTTTCATTTGATAATGAAGAAAATCCCCACAGTATTATGATTTTGAAAACAGTATGTACTAAGAATCCAAGGCACTGGATTGCTGATACAATACTCTTAATCCTCAAGACATTATTAGGCAGATGATACTAGCTGAGATTCACAGAACCTGAGGCACACAGACTATGTAATTTGTTCATTCTTCTGTAGCTACAAAGCTGGGAAGCTCTTTTTTGGCTTTACTGGGTTGCTATCTAGAAGCAAGTGATCTTTTTTTACCCAACTTAAAACTCCAGGTAATTAACACACTCACACATGCAGATACAAATTGTAGTGGACTAATGGTCAACTTGTAATGCTCAGGTGAACTAAATCAGCATGATCTGAGCATGGAGGATCCACCTGAAGATTGCTGCCAACAGCCAGAAAAAAACTGGAAGGGAAGATTTTGGCCTGTTGATTTTCTATAAGCTTGCTGCGGATGGTTTTCCTGATGCAATCTAGGCTGTTTTCATCAGAGAAGGAGCTTAGGACCTCGCTGTTACTGGGAATGGCTGCTGCTTTTATCAGAGGAGCTCTAACCTTTACCATGAGCATCACTTCCTGGCTCCACTGTGGAGCCCTCAGCGTGGTGGCTCAGATCCTTCATCTCATAAGATAGATTTTCTGGCTTCCACCATTGGCCTTTGAGCCTTCCAGGTGCAGATCCTCAATACAGACAAGCATGAGACATTGCCATGGGCTCTAGGGCACTGGCTGGACTCCAGGAGGACATTGCCTTGGACTCTAAGCCTTTAGCTGGACCTGTGTGGGAAACTGCTGGGATTCAGGTACTCAGCTGAATGTTTTGGGCTTCATGTGTGGTTAATCTCTTGCACTCCTTGCATTTGACTCTTTGGGTAATTATCATAAATAACCTTATAAATTACGTGTCCTATATTTAATGTATTCCCTCGCCCAGTCCTGCTGACTACTATACACATATAGACATACAAGCATGTGTGCATATCCATAACATGTGAAGATCCTGGAACTGAAGGTAAGACTGCAGAAAGGAGTGTACAGTGCAGGAAAAAACCTGTGCTTCTCCCTGCTCTCTATTCCCTTTGTTACTGAAGGACAAAACAGAGGAGAAAGCCATTTGTCAGGGTTGCTGTTTCTTTTCCAGAAAAAGGACTCCAACCCCAAAATAGTTTTGGGGTAGTAGCTGTGTTTTTATCAAGTGCACTCACTCCTGATGAGGTCTAGCTGCTTAGGTGAAAACAGACACAAGAAGAAAGGCTTGTCCAAAGGGCATCCAGCTCAAGCAAAGAACATGCTTAGGAAAAGGGTGCCCAGGACAGGAATGGCTGCTGATAACTATGTGAGAAATGTTCCTCTGTACCTTCCGTTTATTTCTACTACTCTACCCCACTCCTCCTCCAAACAATGACTTCAGGAACTGACTGAAAGCAGAGGAGGATCAGAGCATACCCAAAACAACTGGAGTGTTCATCCATACTCCCACCATACTCAGTTTTGGACAAGAAAACCTTGTTTCTAGCTTCTCATGTCTTAGTCCTGGATCTACTCTGAGTTATTTCTATATGTGGTCCTAAAGTGTGAAGTAAGGCAGGGAAAGTCTGCTGAATCCCAGGATTCTCTTAGGGAGCTACAGTGGGAAGGGCTGTAACAGGATCATCTTGTGCAGTCAAGATCTGCCATAGGTCTCCTAGTGCTTGAAATAAATATTTACCTTCAGAGACTCATACATCTGGCACAGTAAAGTAAGATGTACCCTAGAACTATCAGTGTTTCGAAGTTGGATCTTGTTTTTTCTCAGCTGGCTTTCAGAGTACTGCTCCAACTTTGCCAAACACTATGAACATGGCTGGTGAGCCTCCAGAATTACTTGAGACAGCTAGATTGACTGTTCCCAACTGTTGGTCTATAACTTGTCTTTACTAGTACCTGAAACAAAGGAAAATCCTTGAGGCATGTGTGCCATAATGCTAAATATATTCAATTTGAAGGACTGTCCTCTTGTCTGTGACTGGGAGTTAAATGGCCTTTCTTTTTGAAAATGATAGGAGTGCTCACTTCAGCAGCACATATTCTAAAGCTGGAACGATACAGAAAATGATAGGAAAAACAAGATTGTAGTTACTTTTAAAAATAATCTTGCCAGGGACAGGGGTTTAGCTCAGAGGTTTCACCGCTTGCCCCACAGCACAAGGTCTGAAGTTCAATCCCTGGTACCCCCCCCACCAAAAATTCTTGTCTGGCTAAATGCAAACCCTAGGTCAATCTACAATTTTTGCTTTATAATTTTATAGGTTCATAAAATCAAAAAGTCTGGTAACCACTAGTCTAGGTTTTCCTGTCTAGACAGGAACTTTTCAATATTCCACTTACAACATGAGACATTCACAAACCCTCAAAATGTCCAAACTGACTGCAGAAGATCATGTCAGGTCTAGAGTTTTTTGCCCCCCAAATTTCTAACATAGGATGGAATAAGGTTTAACCTCTAAAAGAGCCAAGCTTTGGGAGACAGGTAACAAGTTTTCGGTGTGACAGTACTACAGTTTACAGCAATCATCAACATTGGGTCTATTTTCAGAAAAAAGATAAGATACCATTTTCCTTTCATCAGACAAAGTTTAACAAATATATAAATCAAATTCTGAGCTCAACTCTCAACCTCAAATTTACAAATTTCACTTATAAATTTACAAAATTCAGGGCATTTTATCTGAAATCTAGTGCAGAGGAAGACTGAACAGATGACAACACAAGCCAGTATTTTATGTCTCTAAATCACTTATTACCAATAACATGTGCCAGTCTTTCATCTAAATACTTTATACATACTAATTTACTTCTCATCCTGTCAGATGGAAAGTTAAGGTATTAAAGATCATACAGATAGAAAGTGACAGACGCAAAGTTATTTTGTTTCATGTTGCCAAATAAGGATTGAACTCAGAGCCTTCACAATGAGCTATATCTTCAGCTCTTTACTAATTTATTTTTTTATTCTGAGACAAGGTCTCAAACTTCTGATCTGCCTGCTTGGTTCAGCTTCCCAGACTGCTGGAATTAGAGGTGTATATCACAACCAGCTTCAGGGGCAAAGTTTAAACCTAGCGAGTCTCCAAAGTCTGTGCCCTTAACCGCTATACCACCTAATCCTACTTCAAAACTGGAAGACATTTTAGCAAGTGCTGTCCAGCTACCTTCTAGACAGTGGCTGTAGGAGTGGTGTAGTGGGAAAGGCGTAAGACTGGAATAAGAGACAGTGTTCAGACAGGAATCTTTACTTGTACATACACTAGTTAGTTCTCCAACCTTAGCAAACTGATCACCCTGAGTCTCACTTTCCTCTAAAGTAGGACTGGAATTATAACAGATGTTTAAAACAACACTATCAGGATCAGACACAAAGTACTGTTCACACAGCAGGAAACAAACATAAGTTCCTCTTTTTCAGGTGCGTAGGAAACAAGAACTACACAGAATACAGGAAGCTGGACAGCAGAGGCCACTTAATCAAAGTCTTGGGTAAAAGCTGGCCAGACTGAAGTCTCCCAGGAGACATTTAACAATCAAACAAGCACTAAGTGCCTGTAAATTTCCAGGCACACTGATAGCTACTGGGGACAAAGTAAGCAAGACAACCATGGTGCCTGCCCTCGTGAAGCTTAGCTGTCTGATGGGAGAGATAGATAAATAATCATACATACATACATACATATATATATGTGTGTGTGTATGATTATATATATATACATATATGAGTGATTATATGTATATACATATGTATGATATATGTATGTATGTATGTATGTATATATATGGTCATAAACTCCAGGAAGGAAGATTCCTGTGAAAGAAGGGAATGTGGTTACATGAGAGATAAAGCAAAGGAAGCTGGTTCAGATTAGGGAGTCCAAGAAAGCTTTCTTCAAAAGGATTAATAGAAGCAAAATTTGAAGGATGAACAGAATTAAGCACATAAGAATATTCCAGCCCAAGGAATTAGGCTTTGCAAAAGCTTATGGGCAAAAGGAAGCATAAGTATGGGGAAACCTGGAACAAAGGGCTAAAATACAAGAACAAAGAAAAGCAAAGAATGAACTGAAGCTGACAGTAAAGTGGAAGAGGTCAGAGCAGGGCTCTGTAGTTTTACCTTTACCTACAAAACAGTAAAAATGATTGACGGAAACACTGAAAGATCAGAACAATTAACAGTGTAAAACTAGAGCAGTGATGGAAAACTGTTTTAGACAGTGCCCAAACTGTAACACACCCCAAATCCACTTATTTATTGCAAAGTGCCAATATTGTGATTATAGCTGAACACTGAGGATTTAAATTCAGAAAAAACTTACACATCGACACCTTCTGTCTTAAAAAAAAACAATAACGTGTGCCATTGGTTCTCTACCACTGAACTAAGGTATATGGAGCACTGGAAGCCTTCTGAGAACAGTGACAGGAAACACCATCACATTCTGACTCGACAGATACATTCCACACCCATTAAATCCAGGATCCAGGCCAGATGATCCAAGAACTAGAGCTATTATAGGAACTTGGATGTTCAGAGGACAAGAAATCACACAGAAGATCTCACCTGCACAACAGGAAATATGTGAATAAAATCCATCCCTTGGATCTGGTGGGGTTCCAGCTGGTGAGGACATTTCATCCTTGGAAGGACTGAGACAATCTTTTCTGATAGAGCTCTGTCCAGAGAAAAACAAGCATAGAGTGAAAACACAGTGCGTCTCTAAATTCTGGGAAGCATCCCAGAAGAACTTGGGCTTCACAGTGCAAGGGCAAGAGCCAGACCATGACCAAATTTCTCCTGGCTGAATGCAAAACAAGAAAAAGTAGCACAATTTACATTTGAACCTAAGGTCACAAAATTTATTTCATCATTCACATAAATGTTTTTCTTCCTATTTTTTCAATGTTAGAATATTTTCTTTCTTTAAGGAATGACAGTGATGTTGAAGCAGCAGTACTTTAATAGCCTTACCAGTGTTCTATACTCTTTTACATTTCATTTCATTTCTCTTTTTTGGTACCAGGAATCAAACTCAGGCCTCACACTTGCCAGACAGGTAGTGAAATGCTGGGCTACATCCCAGGCCCTACATTTCATTTTAATGACCTACACTTTTTGTAATTTGGTACAAAAGTATTTTAAAATTAGTAATAGCCTTTTTTGTTTGTTTATTTGTTTTTTGGTATTCTAAAGTCAGTCATAGATTTTGGAGAATTATTTCCACAGAAAGGGAAAATTTTTTGCTCTGCAGAGGGGGTTTCTCAGCTGAGCCTGGGTGGGATAGTTTTATGGTAGAAAAGAAAGGAGGGTCTTGTGTGCAAGTCTATTACATTAAAGCTTAATGCCTTTCTCTAATCAGCAGGTATCTGATCTCTGTATGATTATTTCTTTTCTTTTTTTTTTTTTTTGGTACCAGGGATCAAACGCAGGTCCTTGTGCTTGCAAGGCAGGAGGCAGAACCACTGAGCCAAATCCCCAGCCCTTGTATGATTATTTCTTATATTTTAATTGTATCAGTTCAAGAAGAAAACAAAAATGGTTATTTAGTGAGTCTGTAATACCCAAAACATGCCATGAAGACCAGGGACCTTTAAAAATAGTCACCAGGCATTGCCTTGTGGAGCCCTACAGAGAAATAGAGACTTCTGGCTCATTTCTGTCATATGCACACCCAAAAGCCTTTAAAAAAAATTCTTAGCTGGTCACAGCAGTGACTATGATCTTGTTTACAAGTACAGGACTAACTCCTCATGAATGAAGGCCCTGGTAACAAAGGGTCACTTATTTCTTAGCAGATACTTCAAATTCAACAAGCTTTAGGTTTCCCAAAAGAGTTTTAGCAGTGACTATGATCTTGTTTACAAGTACAGGACTAACTCCTCATGAATGAAGGCCCTGGTAACAAAGGGTCACTTATTTCTTAGCAGGTACTTCAAATTCAACAAGCTTTAGGTTTCCCAAAAGAGTTCCTTGTTCAAAGAAATCTCCACTTGTTCTGCTGCAGTTCAACACTCCTTCCCGGGAAAGTGGTACCCTGAACCCCAACACAGAATGCAGGCCTATGCAGAAGCTATGATTTTTTTCTTACTCATTTCCCCTTAGCAGGTTTCATACCCCAGTCTTAGTAGGAGCTAAGTGACCTAGGGGCAAAAATAAACAGCCCCTGTTATGGATTAGATCTAACCCGTTTCTCCCAAATTGTCACGTGTGAAGAAGGTAAATGGATCATGAGGGCGCTATACTCATCAGTGGATTCATTCATAAATGTGCTGTTAGGAAGTGAGACCTTGTTGGAGGTGGGTGGGTCCCTGGGACATTTCTCCTATCCCAGCTTAACCCTCACTCCCCACTTCTTGACTGCCAGGGTATGAAGCACCTTTTTCTTCCTCTATGCTACTCTGCCATTCTGTTCCTGCCTTGGAGTCAAGCCAATCATGAATTGAAATTGTGAGTCAAAATAAAAACCAATCATCCTTTAAGTTGTAGTTATTGGGTATTTGTCCAACAAATGTAAAGTGACTAAGACAAACCCCTAGGGAATGGTCCTTAAGCACATATTACAACACAGTGTTTGGCATCTGGAAAGTAGCTTCAGAGGTAGAAGAATAAACCTCAAGGACAAGAGTCAATCCCACTGACCATGTGTAGTCAAATATGTTAAAACACAGGAGGAGGAGGAGACTAATACCCTACTGCACATATTCACAGAGGGAAGGAACATCCATCTCCCAGGAGAGAGCCAGAGAAGAGAACATTTTCCATCTCTTCCTCCTCACCTTTCCTCTTCAACAGAAGAGTGTGGGGCCAAAAGAGCTGAGAGGAAGAAGGAAACTGTAATGTGGCTCTCAGCCATTCCAGAGCCCACTAAGTTCTGAGGAGCTTGCCTTAGGGACATATGTCTTTTCTGCCATGAAATGTGTGGCCAGCCCTGGTGGGAAAAACTAACTGTCCAAGTCTATCAGAGATCAAATGGGATATTCTGGAGGTGGAGTATTAAAACTTGGTAACACAATGAGGCTTTCTCTAATAAACTTTATTTTTTTATTTTGATCTCCATCAGACTCCCATGACTGTTTGTTTAATTTCTTTGAAACTTATGAGGGAGAGATGAGTGTTTAATTCCCCCTGCTACTCAAACTCCAAGCTCATCAAATGAAGATGAGTACCAGTGCTAGCTCTGAGTTTTACTCAGTGCATGTCTTAACTTTATTCATGCTGGACACCTGTGCAAAGAACCCACCCACCCCTGAACACAGCCTTTGCTTAGTTACATTCTGGTTCGGCAGGGGGAGTGCTCCCTCTAGTGGCTACAAATCGTTTGGTTTACATAGGCTTACCAATTGTTGGATTTAGTCAGCAGCTTAAATAAAATCAAGAGGTTGAGACCCTAGGATAATTCAGCTGAGCCTCCTGCCTTCACGCAGCGTTCTCCCTGGACACCCCTCAGGGCTAACCTATTCATTTCTTCATCAGTATCCCAAGGGAAAGATACCGTAGGTAATCTCAGGGTTTACAATCCTTTTCAATCGACTTCCCAGAAATTACTGCTAAATCTGGGCAGTCCTAGCAGTACTTGGAAGCCCTGGGACTAAATGAAAACACTGGCAGGCTGGAGTCCCAACATTTCTCTCCACATTCCTCTTAGCACTAAGGGTTCCCACTGCACATATTACTTCAACACATAACTTATTACTGTTCATACTCTGCCTCCTGCTACTACAGTGTGAGCTCAATGAGGTAGGCTGTTCAACAATGAATCCATAGTACCCAGGTTATATTTCTTTTTTTCTGATTCTATCACAGTTCTCAGATCTTATTCTAAAGTGATTATAGATTTAATTTTAGAACTTCCTTGAAAAGTATGGACAAGTTAATCATAAACGTTCTCTTATCATTTTGAAGCTAAGTTATGATAGACGGAAGCAGAATGAAAAATAGATACTAAAAAAAGAACATTCTAAGTAGTTAAAAAAACAGGTAACAGATCAAGAAATAAAAGTTTAAGTAGAATAAAATTATATAGGCAGCAATATTTTTAAAAAGTAATAAAAGATTGCAAGAGGAAGATGAAGAGAATGCTCTGAGGAGTTTAGGTGCAATAATTTCCCATTCTCATCTGACTTTAATGAAACACATGTTATCTGTGGCTAGAGATGAAGAAGTGACCACTGTGAAGAATCTAAAACTTTTGAACAATTGAAGATGTGTCTTTCTAGGGAATAAAACTGGGGTAGAATGAAGAGATATCAGCTTTGGGTTTTGTTCCCTTTGTTGTATTTGAATTTTTCTAACTCCAGGGACATCACACTTACACTGTAAAATAAAAACAAGGAACAAAAATCCACCCCTAGATAGAAGGGAGGCACACACCTGGACTCCATGCACTGCCATCCAGGAAGAATCTTTCACTACAAGTGGCTTATTGAGATCTGCAATCTCAGCGGCAGACGTTAGGAATGCAGAGCCATTACGGCTGGGCACTAATGAGCACTATGCTAAATAATGTTCTTTTTAGTGATAGCCTTGAGAGATGTCCACTTGTCTTAATGTTAATAATTTGATTCTCAAGAACCAATTTTCCTTAAGTCAACTGTGAATAGGCAAATTTATCACATTTTTCTCTTTCTGTTGGCTGCCAGAAAGCTTACAGGCAAATCTCCGGCCCATCCAAGGAAAACAAAGCATTTGGGGGGTCCATTACTCATGTCTCCAATTTTTTTCCTTTTCCTTTACTCTGCTTTTCCACTATTATTTCTTCATGTGTGTATTTATAACCTACTTTTAATCTTTTTGGAAGTGTTTTTTCTTGTGAGAGGGTAATGTTTCAAAAATTAAATAAATGATAGAATCATATGTATCTGAGCTCACAAATCTCACTTACAGATAAAAGAACTGAGGCCCACGGTAGGAGTGGCCTAACCAAGGTCAGGGGTGCCTACTGGCAGGTATCAGAGCAAAAATGGGTATCTTGAATGATTTAATAAAATGGGCAAGTCCCTGCTGAACCACAAGATTGTTCAAGGTACCCTCAGGTGAAACCCCTCACCAGGAGCCCATGTCACCCGCTCTCGAAGGTAGGTAAAATGAGGCTCTGCCTAACACAACAAAGGCAACAGAGAGGGAAAGATTCTCCTTTCCTCCTCATAATATATTTCCACCCAGATTAGTATCTTGGAAAAAGGTGAATTACAAGGTCAACGGAAATTGTGATCAACAAACACAATCATCAACAGCCTGTACTCTAACTGTGTGACTTTGGCCTTTGTCAGCTTCAGTTCCATCTATAAAACTAGAACAATGTCTGTTGCAATGAAAATTAAAAAATAAAATATGTGAAGCATCTAGCACAGCTTCTGGCATCTAGGAGACACTCAAAAGTTAGTTCCCCATAGCTGTGCTCCTCTGTGTATCTATGTTTACGTATGGCTACTTTTGCACTACAATAGCAGAGTTGAATGGCTGTGACAGAGACCAGAGACAAGCTTAAAATATTTACTATCTGGAAAAAGCTTGCTGATCCATGACCTAAAGCAAAAACAGAATTGTACTGCAAACTTTATAACACATTTAAAAAATAAACATATAGTACAAAGGAGAAAAAGGAGGAATTGGCAGTGTAATGTTATATAGGTCTTACACTTGTGAAGTAGTGCATTATTGAAACATAGGCTGATAAATAAAAAATACATGTTATAAATATTTATTATTAGGAAGCAGCTAGATTTTTAAAAAGAAGGATAATTAAGAGCCAAGAGAAAAGATAGAATAGGCTACAGAAAAATACTTAATCAATGCAGAAAAAGGAAAAATAAAGGAACAAAGAAAAAATGGAACAAAATAGAAAACAACTAGCAGGAAGAGAGATTTTTAAAGTAAACCATATTGTAAGTACATTAAATATCATCTTAAACATACCAACTAAGAGAGATTATCAGATTGTGTAAAAAGGGAAGAGTTCACTAGACGATGTCTAAAGAAACCAATGTTTAGACAATGAAGAAAAATTTTAGTTCAAGAATGGAAACATTATACCATGAAATATTAAAAGAAAGCTGCAGTAGCTATGTTAATATCAGACAAGTAGACTTCAGGACAAGAAATATTGCCACAGATAACCATAACAAAATGGAAAAGGGTCAGTTCATCAAGAAACTAAGAAGTGAGATTTACTTGCCTGCTCTTCTTTTAATTACATTTTTACAAAGACGCTAATGGTATGGATATTTTGTTTTGAAAAATTATGTATAATTCTGGAACACACTTATGAATGTTCTCTATAGGATTTTCTAACTTACTTGTATTTTCCTTGGCTTAGTTTGATTACTTAGCAAATAAACAGTAACATCAATGAAAAAAAACAAAACAAAATATACTGAGATGTGCTACATGGTGAAGAATAACTAATCTGGGGCTAAAACTGTTGGAAACAATCCACATGGAAGCATTTAAGAATTTATATTAAGAATAAATACATACAGTATAACATGAGAAATGAAAAAGAATGTGAATATAAACACATAATTACCCAGCCCCAAAAAGTCTCCCTCTAATCCATTAGTTTCTTCTACTACAAACCCAAATAACTTACATTTTTTGACCTATTGTAGAGTTTTCTTGAAAGAGCAAATCAACATCTATATCAAAGGTACAAGTGGTGATACACCAAGTCATTCCTCCTACTACCTGTAGGAAACAAAGAAAATATGTGTTTTCTTTCTAGTTCAAGGAAAACAGAAGTAAAAGGTAACAGTTCTCAGTAAACACACAAAATCATGTCTTCACAGAGAAAAAAATGTACTCCTTACATTCAATTAATCTAAGATAGCAGTCAAATAAAACTTTCTGCAATGACAGAAATGTTCTATACCTGTGCTGTCCAATATCAGCCATAGTATCAGCCACAATACTCAGCATGATTGAGCACTTGAAATACTGATGTGGCCAAAAAGCTGACTTTTATTATTAAATGAATGCATTATCTACAGATTCTCTTTACACTAAAGGCGTCAGACATTAAATCTCAGTTGAGAGATTTTCTTAACCCAGTGTCAGACAAGTGTCAGTCTCCAGACGAACTGTTTTATAGATCAGACATAAGTGCTGCAAGGTTGACATTTTTTGCCTCATTGCTTAATTTCCACATATATTATTCTCATCTATCTAACAAAGGTGAGAATTCCTGCTCTACTTTGTTTACAAGATTTTTCTGAGTTGCAAGTAAGTCTGAGGCCAAAAAGCCACTCCAAAATAAAATATTTTTCAAACACAGCTTGATATTAGGAAGGAACAATGAAGTTTATCTCCGGCTATGTTTTTAGACTCATGTGTTATATCCAATATAATACAGATTCCAAGGCCTCAGCCCAAATCTAGCTTAGAAGTTAAATGGGTTAGGTCTGGACACATATTACAAAATAACCCCAGTGGTTATGTTATTGTGTGCAGCCAGGACTGTGACCTGCTCTTGTTCCTGAATTACTCAGTACAGGATTCCTCACCTGCTATTTATTGTATCATGCCATTCATTTTATGCATGTTAGTTTACCTGTCTCTCTTCTGTACTCTACAAAATTGGTGCTCTTTCCATCCAGGGATATTGTTTCATATCTGTCTCTTAACATCCATTATTATACCATACACACTATAATCATTCATAGTTCTGCTAAATTAAAACACTCCATTCAACAGTGACTTCTTCCTCCTCCAAATGCAGAGCACTTGCCATCAATAAAATACATGTCAACTGTGAGCATGGTGACTTGGAATAGCTATTAACTCAGATTACTTTCTAACGTGAATTTTATAACCCTACCCAACCTGTAAGTTCCTTGAATGAAGAAACTATTTCTTTTCCTTGTTGCATTTTTTAAAACTTGATGCACAGTAATTTAATCATATCTACTGGCTAACCCTTAATTTCTCTAAATAAGAAATAAGAATATTTCCATGATGAATCTGCATTAGAATGTTAACATGGAAATGGAAGAAGTAAAAACAGTCTCTTCCTCCTTTCCCTGCCATGGTTAACTGTGACATCCTCAGGATTAATAGTCTGGTGGTAAACTTTCCACTTACCTTGTCAAAAGGTGACAAGCCTTTAATTCTTGCCCTGAAATATCCAGCTGCAACCAAGAGTTCCAGAATTTCAGTCAACTTGACATTTTGTTCTTCATCTTCTCTTGTTTCTACCTAAAACAAAAATCACAAGTGTGGCTGTAAAAGTTATCTTGAATAAAGGAAAACCAAGTCTATACTGAAGATGCCACAATCTCATTGCCAAGGAGAAGGTGACAACAGCTCATTCATGGTACCAGATTTTCTGTGAAACTCAGCATGCATCCACAGAATCATGTGGCTATTGTTGCCAGAATTCCAGAAAATGAGGTCCCCATTTTCAATGAGCTGTTAACTATCATAGCTGAGAGGAGAAGTTCACCACGTTAAAGGAATCCAGGTAAAAAGAACATTCAGAGCACATCATCTGCCTTTTCTGTAATACATGGTCTATGTAAAAGGCTTCTCAACTACATTATAAGCTCTTTAAAGACAGGAACAAGTTATGTGGGTTTTAAAGTATACTCATCCTGGTCTGGGAAGTTATTGACAAGAAAGGAGCAAAGGAGAAAATTCATGTATGTATCTCTCTCTACATTTATCCTTTTGGCTCTCTAAAGAAAATATAAGGAAGGCTTTCAACACAGACATATTAAGGAAGAATTATTGCCACATAATAGGACTACCTTAAAAATAATGAATTCATCTAATATATGTAAATTTGGATTGGATTTGAAATTCTTAATTTATATTCTCTTCACCTCAGGTGTTTATCTACTACTTAGATTCATCTAAATATTCAAATTTTTTGCAACTATCATTAATTTCATGAACTGCCTTTCCTGTCTTCCATTATTGTAAAAAAATTTAAAAGTCACTTTTCTATGTAAAACACCAAAGTATGATCATTCAAATTTTCATGCTCATCTCTGATTATTCCCTCACATAACACCTGCTAAATCTTCTTTTGCTGTGCATCTCACATATATCCTCCCTTTTTATTCACATTTTACACTGTGACTTACAACTGCCTCTCAATCTTTTTTGTCTTACTCTTTCCTAAAGCTTTCATTGTCCCTCTTTAATCCATACCCCAGCCCTCACCACAATGCATAATATACTGTCTATAAAATAAACTCCAAATTTCTTGGTTTGGCAGTCAGATATTTGGTTGCAACCAATCTTTTCAGCTTCATTCTTTATTTGTCAACCAAACAATCTGACTATGGTTTCTGGCCAATCAAGCACTGCTCATTCTTCACTACACACCATTCCCCTTTCCTTGATGTTTTCTAACCATCTAGAAATCACTGTCAAATTTTACCTCTTATTAGACGCCACCCCTTACAAATCTAGCTGAAATGTTCATTTCTGCATTTCTATTTTATGTACTGCCAATGTCATTCATACAATGAAGTATTAACCTCTTCTGAGTAGTATATAAGGTATTATATACACACCTGTCTTACTGACTGAACTATCAGCTCACGTATTAGAGAATTTATATATTATACATATGTATTTACTTCACTGGACCTAAACATCTGGCTCAAAAAATACTGTAGTAGTTAGGCTGAAGTCTCAACTTGACTGGCTTCAGGATTTCTCTGGAGGATTGGTAGGTGTGTCTGGGTAAGTCATGGGGGTGTGGCTTTAGGGGTCTACCTCTGGTCTCCTGCCCCTTTCTGGCACTTTTCTTCTGCTCTTCTCCTCAGAGTCCATGAACTAAGTAGTTTTGCTTTATAATGCTTTTCCACCATGATGTTTCTGTCTTGGAGCCAGCTGACCATGAATGGAATCCCCTTAAAATGTGAAAAGTTAATCTCATGAAATGCTTTAAGTTGTGGGTGTTAGGTTTTGTGTGTAACAAAAGGAAAACTGACTAATACAGACACACTTACTAAACAGGGAATTATGCACAAGTATTATATGAAGTATATGTAATTTAGTCATGTATTTGCAGTTGTTTTCATAGTCATGACACTGATAATTCATTTTGAAGTAAAAACTGTCAGGAAAGGGAGGACACATTAATACAAAATTAATTAGCATGTTGCATGCTAATGCAACTATAAGGTAGGACAACTGACTTAACATTTATTTGGCCTGGTTTAAGAGCTCACAATCATTCATTTTTTTCAGAATTTAAATTTTAACTGGGTGTATTAATCACCTTGGGGAAGTAACCTTGAGCCACTGTACATTTCACTCATCCACTCTCTCTTAAAAAGATTCTGGTCTAGCCTATGAAAGGTTCTAAAGAATTGCAGTCACTAGTTATTAGTGAATACACAAAAAATCAAGTAATATTAACTATTCAGACTTTGTCTTTCTTCTGAAAAGATCGGTGATGCTTGAGAAACAACTAAAAAGTATAGAGACTCAGAAAAGACAAAAGCCAGTTACAATTCATGAAGATGGAAAGGAAAATGAAAATAAGATGATAAAAATGTTTTCTTAAAACTCCTGGGTAGTAAACTAAGAATCGTTCACTTTTTCAATCATTTATCAGGAAAACACGTTCATAAAGAGGACAACACATCACAGGAGAATTACTCTGGCCTCAACTCATTTCTCAAGAGCCCCACAGGCCCCTCCTCCAAATGCACGGCCATTGATTCTCATCCACTCAGCGCCAGAACAGAGAACTGTACTTCTGCAATATAACCTGTGAAAGAATTTTTTACAAGACACTGGAGCTGGAATATTTGACTCAAAATTCCCTTTACAGATTAACTATGAATCAAAATGGAAAAGGGCCTCTAACTAATATACAGGAATAAAAGAGCATCCTCTCTTGAAGCCATAAAAAGCTACCAAGGTGATTAATGCACCCAGTTAAAACTGAAATTCTGATATAAATGAATGACTACAGGCTCTTAAACCAGGCCCAATAAATTTTCAATTGCCCAGTCTTATAGCTCATACAAGCTGGAAGGCAAGGCCAAGCCCAGTTGTCTTTTTATCCTTCACAAACATCCAGTAAAGGGTTTTAAAATTTGAATTTAATGAATTAGCTAGACTAGTGATGGCTTGATGAGTGGCTGGTAATAATCTGATTATATTCACCATGACTGTTTCCAAAACTTCTAGGAACTGTTCTAAACTCTTGGGCGGGGGGGGGGG